AGTTTGTCAAGGTGCCAGTATGACAAATGGTCAAAATGCCAGGATGGCTTAATTAAAAATCTTTTATAAATACGAGCTGGAAATCCTAAAAAAGCTCAATATCCCATGCTCGCCTTTAGAATATTTCTTTGAGAATCATTCCCTTCGTTATCTTCCCTTTACACCTTCGCGATAATGTCGATTTTCGCCCTTTAAATTTTATAATTTCGCATTTTGTACACAGTTTATTGTTTTATTTTTAATTTCCGATTTTATTAGTAATTTATTATACAATTTTTATGTAATAGTTTCGTAATTGCGTAGTTTTAATTAATTAGTTAGCATTTACTTAGTTTAATATATTGATATAGCGAAAGTGTAGAGCGCCGACGTTGAGGCAACACTGATCAATTTGATATTATTAAATAATTTCTTGTAATAATTACTTCATTTTTATTCAACAATTACTCAATAAAACCTTCTGCTTACAATACAAATTGTTTATAAATACATAAATGAAAGAACTGAATACAACAATACTTTGTTTCAGACAAATTCTAAACCAATAAACGTATGTATAAAATGGTTTAAAGTAATCAGTTAAATCCGTAGCAAATGTCAAATTTTCACGTCAGAAAATGTCAAAGGCACGTGTATATTTTTGGCTGACAATTTAAATCTTGATAATTCAAAACAATATCATTCCGAACGCAAACAATGATTTCATAAATAAAAAATTCCGGAGAAAATTTATTTTTTTTATAAATTGTGTGGTGTAAACAAATTAATAAATCAAATATTTATACAGCTAATATCGGTTTTACTATAATTGTTAGCACGATTATGAACAAAAGCGTGCATAAAAATTTTTGAGATACGTGTATATAATATATTTTATTTGTATTTTTGTAATATGTTTCTCGGCGCTTAAAAGGCATAGGTTTCCAGAAAAGACATGTGAAATATAGTAAAAACGTTTTTTTTTTTTAAAGTATAAACAACCAGTTATTAGGAGAGATGGGAATAACCATCATTTTCAATAAGATTTATCGATCAAATAATAATTAAATAGTAGCAGCTTTTTCAAATTTTACGCGAGAAAAATAAAAAAAGTCAAGCAAATTTAAAGAATCAAATCTTTATATTGATTGTTAAAAAGTCAATTGGCGATGGATACCTCAATCATTATGAATATTCGGATTTAAGAATCTACAGCTGATAGGAAAAATTGTGCACGTCAATTGGAAAAATGCGGATCGTTTCTTTGCTTTGAAACTTTCAATGATGACAAATCAAACTCTGAAAGAAGTTGTAAAGAGGTAAGAAGTAACTCGCTTTTAATTTTTTTTAAAAAGAAAGGTTTATTAAAATTAACTTGTAAAAATAATTTATAGATCAAATACACAAGCGAGTTGATTTTCAACGAAATGTCCTACAATTTTACGGCATCGCGAATGAAGTAACTGGTAAACATTGGAAACTAATATAATTAATCCACACTTTAACACTTTAAAAATTAGAATAATTTTTATATACTTTGTTTTGTATATGCAACAGATGCAATTCATCAAATAGTACAATACGGTTTGATTTTGGAATACAGATGCTGATGATGGCTCCCTAAATGCTTATCTAAAACTTGAATGGATTGACAAGTATCGGCTAGCTTTGCAACTGGCGAGTGCCGTGGAATGTATGCATGAATGCGGTATTGTTAATCGACTCTGGAATTGTTATTCACTTTATTTACCATATTTATTAAATGATTTCTCTTATATTTTAAGCAAATTTATAGCATGCAAACAATATAAGAGAGGATTTCTAGGAAAATCAGGTTCCGAGAAATTTTTGACTAAAATTAAGAGCTTAATGCAATAAAAATCTCAATTTTTGTTAAAAAATTTCCGGAACCTGATTTTCCTAGCCATCAACCCAATATTTGTACACCGGAAAAAAATTAAGCTATCAAGAAAATCTGCTGAAGAATCAAGCAATGCGTCAAGAATTTTTTGTATTACGGATCCAAAAAGTTTGGCAGATCAAAACAAGAATTTCAAAACAAATAAATAGTCAAATATCTATAGCGTTGGAGTTTTGTTGTGGCAAATCTAAGTGGATATCAGCCATTTGAAGCTACTGATACAAGTTTAACCGCAAGAATAATAAAGAGAAAAAATTATAGACGGAACTCCAATTGAATATAGTAACCTATTTCAAGGTAAGATTTATTATTCTTTTTATTTTTTTTTAAAAAAAAAAATAAAGTAAAATAATAAAATTTAACCTCTATTCATTGATTTAGCGTGTTGGAATTGTGATCCAAGTGAGCGACTCAAAATACAAAAGGTTGTCTTAAGCCTTAGAAAAATCATTTCACTCGAACAAAGTATCGCTAACAAGGAAGGAAAAAATGATTCATCAACGAAAGGTGAATCTAACCTTAAATCAAATAAACTTACTTCAAGTATAAATAAGGAATTAACGATTAGTAATTCATTTGATAATATTGAACCTGAAGGCAATCCAAGAATTGATTCGAATATTCGAATATTTCATCAAATATAGTAGAAAATGAAAATTATATTACACAATACAAAGAAAATGTCTGGTATCAAAAAACAGCAAAAGGAGGAAATATTTATGCACAAAGTGGTCTTGCATTATCATATGAAATAGGTGAAGGGAAAGAAAATAATCTCGAAAAAAGCCATTTTTTGGTATCGAAAAGCGGCAGAAAATGGGTACGTTGAAGCACAATATAGTCTCGGTTATTTATATAAGAATTGTATAGGGAAAGAGAAGAATTTAGAGAAAGCCTTTTATTGGTATCAAAGGCGGCAGAAAATGATTGTGAAACCGCAATGTACAATTTAGCTATATGTTATCAGGATGCGAAAGGAACAAAAATGATTTAGAAAAAGCCCTTTATTGGTATTATAAAGTGGCTGATTATGAGAATGAATTTGCATAATATAAACTCGCGTTCATATATTAAAGGTAAAGAATTTAGAATAATAATTTGTATTTATATTCTTTTGTTAAATTTTTAAATTGTAACCTTGAATAAAAAATAAAATTTCTTTTTTTGTTCGAAATAATGAAATAATTAGCTTGCCTTGTCATTTCAAAATCTTTTGATTTTAAATGATAGATTTTAATATATATTAGAAAGACGCGACTGTCACAATCTAAAATTTTTTTTTAACCTATAATTGCTTAATTATTTTATTGCGCTGGAATATTGAGAACAGCAAAAAACAAGCATAAAATCTTTATTATTTAAAGTTGAAGAGATGGATTTAGTGTTTGAGAGATAATCGTCAGAAAATTTCACCCGAAATTTAACTTACTAACTAATGACACGCTGCCGGAAAGGTTGTTCTATTTTTGGATCTCATAAAAAAGGCAATGACGCAACGTTAAAAAAAAAAGAATTATATAACTGAATTGAAGATAGTTCAATTATTCAACTTGAAAAAATAGTTTATGGATCGACGGGCGAACGTCATCTCGTTTCTAGTTTACAAACCTTATCCGTTTCGGTTTCGAAAATTCTTCTTACTCCGAAAAAAAACATTCACTCCGAAACCCGAAACCCCGAAAAACCCTCTCTATAAATAGATTCGGCCGAAGCATCAAATCACGTCTTGGCGATTTCTAATTTTTCTCGACGGTTAGTTATTAAATCATACTTGTAATTAATAGGAGTGTTCAAGAAATAAAAATTTGTATCGTTCAGCCCCTTTACAGAACTAAAAAAAAATTGGCAATATTTCCGATCTAATAAAAAAGTACAATACATCATATCATTATTGGATAATTTTTTTTACACGCCAAATTTCGGAGTTAACCGTTACATACATGGCAAAATCTTTCATATTCTTTTTCTTATAAGGCGAAGAAATTATTTTAATCATCATGCACAGCAAGTAACAAGGACCAGTCATGGCGCAGTTTATGTTTTTAAAAAAAAAAATTTTTTTTTTTTTTTTAAGTTTGTTAATAATTTCCAAAAATGATTTTATTCTTAATTACAAAATAAAAAAAAAAAAAAAAGGTTTTTCAATATATATAAAACGGGTTTATGGTTTAATATGAACAATAAGTTAAAAAAAATGAATTGTTTTAATGATAAACATCATGTATACAAGTGATTAAATGTGGAGAAATTAAACAAAAAGGGTCAATGCATTCACGCATCAAATATAATGTATAAAGGTTAATTGTTTGTTTTGGTATTATGTCTTGAAAAAAAAAAAAAAATAAAGTTCTTTTTTTTTGATCGAAGGACAATACGAAAAATTTCGGAAAATATTGAAACTTCTTTTTAGGTCGGTCAAATATGCATGATCATCTAGTATAAATTTTTTGTCGATTGTAAAAGAACGAAAAGAGATAAATACTATATGTTGGGAAAACGATAGGAGTTACCATACCTTTTGCACCTCCAAAGTGTTTGCTTTGAGTTCAAAACAGGGCACGGTCGAACCCTTTACGAAAAAAAATTTTTCATAAAATTGAATTCCATTAATTTCACAAACTCTAATTAAATTCAACAAGGGAAGGCATTACATGATATACTTCGAAACAAATAAATGGTTTGTTTGTTAGAAATCACGAACAATATGATTCTCAAGAACTGATTGTCCTTAAATGAAACGTGGATGTTTGCTCTGAAAAAATTTTCCGATTTCTTTGGCTGTCAAATTTCATACTAATTCAAATTGGGAAATACAGAAAAATGTGGGGTAATAATTGATTATAAGTTGCTACACAATACGATTACTTAATCTATTATTTCAAAAAAAAAAAAAAAACAAATATATATATAAATTTTATTTTTTTAAAACTATTATTTTTTTTTTAAAAAATTATTTTGGGGGTTGGGCGTGAGGGTGAGTTTGTGAATTTGTTGCGAAGGGGCGAATCCCTAATTATGTTTACATATTTAGAACATAAAATAGTAAATAAAAAAAAGTAAAATTTCCCCAACCGCTTTGTGTCGTTGCCCGTTCAAGCAAGAAGATGCAATGAACCATTACCAATTTCTTTTTCTTTATGAGATGTCTTTATGAACTTTATTTATAATGAATGAACGAATGCAGAATAAATTAATGGCGTCGAATGACACTCCATCGCATTTTTTAACGAGGATAAGAATGATTCCTTATCTCCCAAGTACGGGATGCAATATAACGAATTTTAATCTGTTACAATAAGGAAATGAATGTGGAGTAACTTTCCCACTTTATCGGTCATTTTGTACCAAACAAAGGAGTTGGTTCTAGATTGTGGCACGTGACACTCATGCTGCGCCAAAGCCCCCGTAATCGGTACTAGATTTGGGCTAATTGATGCGATTTTGTCTCATATAATCATTTAAACTAAATCAGCTAATAAGAGAATATCCGGACAAAAAAAATTAAATAAAATTTGTCAATGCAAAGTTTGGTGTGACATTTATATAAAGAGGGTTTCTTTGACAGTTTCTTTTTTCATTGACACCTGGTCTGTTGCAGTTGTACAACTTTACGTGATGTTTCAAAAGTCGAATCTGATGGTAATTTGGGCGTCATATTATGCGAGTACCCAACACAACCATTTGGGAATGATAGGAGTGGTGTCCTGCAATCTTAATTGAAATCTCTTTTTCTTTTTCTTTCTTTCTTTTTTTTTTTTTTCCTCTAAATTTTTTTTTTTTTTTTTTTTTTTCTCTTTTTGCACAACTTGCTGCTTTAAAACAACCTTCTGCTCGCATAAATCCGACATAAAAAAAAAATTTAAAAAATTTAATGTAATATCATGTTTATGCACATTATCCATATCATCATACATCATATGAGGATCATTACGGGAACTATAGGAAGCAAACAAAACTGCATGAAAAATCAGCATTGACCTAACCGCAAAGAACGGACGGAATGGGCTGCGCCACACTCAGGGAAAAAGGTTCTTTAAACAGAACATGGCGGGAAATGACACAATGATCACAAGATCTTCAAACTTTCTCGACCATGTGGGCAATTGATTCGGTGTTTACAGTACCAGTAAAAATAGACTCGGTTATAATTAGGACTCATGGCCACAATTCAACGAGGTTTGTACGGTGGCTTAAACGTTAATTTCGCGTGGCAATCCGTATTAAGCGATGATTAAGGAAACCTTGAGAAAACTGATGTAACAGATAACGTGTGAAGCTCGTGGTGCTTACATTCAAGTTTATGCAAAAAAATTTCACCTGTCAGTTACGGAAATTATTTCTGTAAGTCCATAATCTCCGAGCTAATGTGTGCGCAGGATTCCCATCGATAGCATGAAAAATTCGGTACTGTGGCTTAATTCAAAAAAAAATAATATAAAAATAAAAATAAAAAATAAAAATAAAAAATTTTAAGTTATTAAAAATAATTTTTTTTTTTCCTCCTTAAACACAAAGAAAATACCATAAGAAGGTTATTGTAAAAATTACAAAGAAAAAAAAGTTTTATCCCCATAAATGGAATAAAAAGATAAGCCTCTTTTTCCAAACAACAAACAAAATGCTTTATATAGTCAAATGGATGACTATTTTAAAATAAACTTTTTTTAAACTTGTATAACATAATAAGTGAATGATTGCCTAGTGATTCGGATGATAGATATCTAGGTAAATGCTAATTGGGAATTGCCTCATAGGTTGTAAATGACTCGATATGAGAGGTGTGGCAAATTATTATTAATCTCATATTTCTCATATTACAAATAATTTTATTTATTTTTATCATTTGTGTGAAAGAATTCCGATTAAAATTGACAAGTTAAAAAAAAAAAAAATTAATTAGGGATGTGCCTGTGTGGGGACGTTTCCTTTTATTCTGACTATCCTCAATTTGGATAAATAAAATTTCATCATTCATATTATTTTCACAAGCTTTCCGTATTTTTCTATTTATCGTCTTTGTCTCATAGATATAATAATCAATCCTGATAAAGCAAGATTTGTCATTACTCTTAATGAAATGTCGAAAAATACGCAGCAACGTCAAAAGGGAAGAGAAGGTCGAAGAGGAATATTCTCAACAATTGTCCCTACGCATTGACCACCAACGTCCTGCGCCTTCATCTTACTCCTTTCCACTACCAAACCGTTTCATAAGTGAAAAGAACTACAAATGGTTGTTTTGTTTTTTTTTTTTTTTGGTTCCGTTCGCATATGAAATTACGAAATTAAAATTACGAACGATATTTTTATATGTTTGGGTTATTAAATGGTTCCGAACGGTTGGAAATGAGGTCGGATTTCAAATTTAATTACAAAAATGGGAAAAGCGAAAGAACGAGTTATGGGGGGTTAAATTAACGTCATATTCAAATTAACGTACGGATATAACCATGCAATAGCCGACATCAATTCCCGACGATCGGACTTTAGTGTCAATGGGGGGTGAGGTTTTATCATCTAAAAATATTTTTAAAGTAAAAATATTTATACTGTAATCCTTATCGTCTAATAAAGGCTCACTTTGTGAAAATCCCCAATTTCTTGCAGAAGAAACTGACTTGTAGATTTTCAAGAAAGAAACCAA